GAAATGGGTATACACCAGAAATCAAAGGAAATAATAATAATAATAATAATAATAATAATAATAATAATAATAATAATAATAATTCTATGTGACTACACAATACACACTGACAGAACAATTAAAGCCAACCGCCCAGATATTGTTATTAAAGACCACAAACAAAAACGGTGCCTCCTTATTAATATGGCAGTCCCTGCTGACGGCAATGTATCTTTGGGTATTCAAAAAGCTGTCAAAATACAAGGACCTTGAAATAGAAATCACGAAAATGTGGCATATGGAAACATCAACAATCCCTGTTGTAGTTAGAGCCCTAGGACTGATTGGAAAAGATTGAAGTAGACTAATTGAAAGGATTCCTGGAAGTCCATGCCTCAAGGAGATACAAAAAAATTGTTCTGACAAGTACAGCCCACACTTTACGAAGGGCTTTATCTATGTAATTTTTTTTTCTTTTTGTCAGTGGAAAGTGTCATGATGCCATTTCTATCCTTAGGTCCCTGGGCGGGACCCGGAAAGAAATGTGTAAACGCCAGAAATCAAAGAAAATAAAAAAATAATAATAATTTGGACGTTTTTTTTCTTATAAAGAAAGGAACTCAAAAACAAATAAACAAAATATGTAGTACAACATCTCTCTCGGAAATCCCAAAAAATAGTTCTAACAAGCACAGCCAATATCTTGCGAAGAACTTTGACCATTTACGTTTTCTAGTTAATAGATGCCTTTTGTTTAATTAAGTGGAAGAAACAAAAAAATCACTTACTCGATTGCTCTGGGTCTTTATAGGAGTGTATGAGTCATTTGTTTTATAAACACACTACGAGACTTATGGTTACAAAACAAATGTACTTAAAAAAAAAACAATTGTTTTAAAAATAAGAACAGGAAATAAATGAAACACAAATGAAGATGATGTGAATAATGGTAAGTTTCAAATTTGTCAAGAATTGTATCAGGTTGTACAGTTTGGCGTAAACTGAACAGAAAAAGATTGATAGAATGAACGTCTATCGTAAACTTTTAAACTTATCTCAAAAACTAATGATTTGCGGACATTGACTTATATAAACATTTATCCTTATTTTGGTATGAAGAACCTGCCCCGAATGTCTGTAAAAGTATTTTTGGATTGTATCTTGGATTGCACATTTAGGCATTCGTGTATAAGCAGAGCGACATATATATTTTGCCAAAATTTCTTATCACAATGATAAAATCGGTCAATAAGTATTATAACTATTTATACTGGAACTTATGCATACAATTACAAATAATCCATAATAATATTTTAAACTTTGAAATCATTTTTATTTTTGACATATGATTTTTAGAAACTGTTTCTAATATAATTGGTCCTGTTCTGGCATCTCGTCTGCAGTCGCTCTCTCATAGACGCACCGTCGCCTCTCTCTGTCTTTTTTATAAATACTTTCATGGTAATGGCTCCGAGGAGCTGCATTCGCTGGTTCCCAGACTTCATGAATTCAAGCGCCCTACGAGGCTGGCATCCCGCTCTCACCCTTTCACTATTGAAACGACTAAATGTATCCGACTCTTCTACTCCAATATCTTCATGTCTCGCAACTCTCGTCTGTGGAACTCCCTTCCATATTCCATTTTCCCTGAGAGCTATAAACTTCAACTATTCAAATGTAATGTCGATCGACATTTCCAGTTGCCTTGATCTATCCACTATCCTTCGCCTCATCCTTTCCTCTATCACTCCTATCTGATCTTGCTCCAAATATTCTGTAAGCCCTGGCGTCCTAGTGGCTTCACGCCTTGCTTGGGGTGAAAAACTTAAAAACTTGATAGTCTTACAAGCATTCCATATCACCTGCTATCCTATTCCTGCCGCACCTATGCTGTCAAGCTGTTTGGCAACCACTACATTCGACCTTCTGCAAGGGGCGACATAAGTCTAAAAAGATATATAGAAACATATATACATATATAATATATACAGACATTACTTGAGGTAAAAATAGGCCTAGTGTCTCCGACATTTCGCGAAGAAAGCGTCACCAGTATCTGGAAACACGGCGTGATATGAAATTCTATGTCACCATCGTAAAGAAGGAATTAACCCCAAATTTATCGCCGTAAAACTCCAGTTTTAAATAGGATTATTATTTAACATCTGTAAGAAGAAGAAAGAGTACCGTGAAAATAAACTCTTAAAAAAATCAGCGAAAATTATTTGGTCGATATCTTCTGTAGACCTGCATTAATTAATCCAGTGTTTCCCGAACTTTTTTTTTTTCTCTGGGCCACCATTTCGGAATGAAAATTTGTTCGCGCATCACGAAATATTTTGTGATAAAAAGCACATTTAAACAAAAAAAATAGATGAGGCTAAAGGGAGATAAACACAGATTTGAAGTCAGAACATTATCATTGATAACTCTCTCCTCCAATTTACAGACCCTAGTTACTATATTCTTAATACTTGATATAATTAAAAAATATCGCAATGTTAAAATCGGTGAATAAGTGTTTAGAATTGGCAGTCATATATGCAGTTACAAGTTATCCATAATAATTTAAATTTTAAAT